AGGAGGTCTCTTTATCTTGCCTGTGCCCAGTATCCCTTGCAGAGATCGCATGGGTCTTCCCTTTAGAGACTTCCTCCCCACTACAAGGCTTTGCATTTGTTTGATCTGCCTGCCTCCTCTTCCCCAGACCTTGGGTTGACCCAGAACAGTCAATGTTACTGCCTTCCCTGATCATCCTATCTTCATAGCAGCTGTCTATTATCTGTCTTCCCTGCTAGTACACAAGCTTCAGGATAATAAGGATCTTCCCTCCCTTGTTCACAGATGTTTCATAGCTAATCTTAATAATAATTAATTTGATTACCGCCGCAGCTATTTGGGCAAGACAAAAAAGACACCTAATTCCAAAATATTTGACTGATATTCATATTTTCTTTTATACTTTTTAACTACACATTAACTATATTTTTTAGCATTTCCTAAAGGTATGGCGCTAACAGCTTTGCATCTAGTAGTAGCTAATTTAATACAACCACCCTATGAGTTAAGAACTGTTACCCTCATTTTAGAGACGCATGAACTGAGGCTCAGAGATGTGCATGAACTGAGGCTCAGAGATGTTCATGGACTTGCCCAGGTCACCAAAGCAGGCAGTGGTAGACCTGGGACTTGCATTTAGGAGTCTGGCTCTAGTTGACCACTGTAGTATCACCCTACTCAGCAGATTTATTATAAAGAAATCAGAAGTGGGCTTCAGCTGTAGTCCCATCCCTAATGATACCAACTGTTAACATTTTGGTGCACACCTTCCCATATTGCTATGTATATATACATTTATTGCATAAAAATAAAATGGTAATCCCCTTTCTCCAAACTACATTGTAAACATCCTTCCATGTCAAATAAAGCATCGTTTGTAAGGCCTGCATTCTAGGGATTACAATCTTTACCTAATCTCCTACTGTTGGAATTTAGGTTGTTTCCAGCTATTGTAAATTTTTGACTATTGTAAAAATGCATAATCTTAGTTTCTCAAATCTGAGGGGAAAGTGTTTGTTTTCTCCCTCCACAAGGCCAGGTGACAGTGCCCTTTCCTTCATCCTGTCTCACACTGCCATGAATGTCCCCAGATAATGTTTGCCTTTTCCATCAACAGTAATATCTAGATGGGGTGTCACCCAACTGCTCAGCTTTTCCTGCTTTTATGTTGAGGACAAGGGCTCACTTAGTACTTTGTCTCTTACGTTGTCAGCTTTGTCAGAAGGGCACTCCCAGAACTTTTCACAGCTCCAAAGGGCAGTCACGTTACTTCTTGATCCCAATCTACCTGGTTGCTCCCTGCCAGCCTAGACCCCAGCACCCCAGCTCAACAGGAAGGGCAGCTATCCTTCCACTGTGGTTACCACTACAGTGTCCATTCTGCCTTCCTATGATAGCACTTTCATTTCTCCTAAAGCAGCCCCTGCCCCAATTCTCAATCCATGTCACTCTAGAGGGGCTGACTGTACCTCCATTTACAGGAATCGACATTGACCCCAACTTGGCCAATCAGAAGATTATAGAAAGTCCTGTAGCCACAGAACTTCAGCAATGGGCGTGTGATCCAGTGAGATTCA